TCACATAAACACACATGTATAGTTTTCGCATCAGACATGTGACTCTCTTCACAACCCTGTCTTGAACGGCACGCCAGTGGAAGGCAACCATGAACTGCCGGCGATAAGGCTTCCCACAGTAAACCGGGAAGCAACCGTGGCACTGGTTATTGCGTGGAATCCTTTCCATCGGACCCGCCACCTCGTGGAAGATCCCGGTCCAAAATTTTTATACTCTCCATAGAAAACTGTATTGAGAGCGAAATTGGATCCTCTTAACCAAGGAGACCATCCCAAAGGGCTGATTGAATTGTCTATGTAGGTCTTCATGATCGTGACACGCGAATACGCTTGCCACGGTCGACCTAAATAGGTCTTGTAAGCTCGAATCACAGGCTTCAAATCATAAGCGGCGATAATCCTGGAGCTATGGATGGTTATGCCTGTGTTCTGAAAAGGGTCACCACGACCTTGTGCGGTTATAACGTTGGCTTGGCCACGGAGAGGTTTTCGGACAAGAATCATGCAGTTCTGAAACACGACAGCTGCATTTCCGAAGATGAAGTCTATGGTGCCTGATATGTAACATTCTCTAAAGAACTGACGTTGTGAATGAATGTAGAGCGTGTCTTGGAATCCATGGATACCAACACGGTAGAAAACAGAGAGGTCAGAGGATGATCGAACCGCCACTGCTTGGCCGCGTAATGGCCCTGCCGTGTTGATGAATGTCATGTCCTTTGCTACAAACCGTTGTCCTCCAAAGCCTTCAATTGAGAGTTGAAGAAAAACTTATTAGTACCATAAGAAGTATTAAGATTAAGTCGGATTTAGCAAAGATTTTTTTAAGAAAGATCTTCAACCGCCGGTTGCAGAGTTATAGGTGGTGTAGCCATTCTGGACGCTTCGGCCACTGGTGATGATTGTTTTTCTTTCGCCATCACCAACGAGCATAATGTTGTGGTTATCGTTTCCGACATCAATATTCTCTCTGTAAACACCTTTCTTCACATATATAACAAATCTTGACTTGATTCTCCGTCTTGCAGCGAAGTTTATTGCGGCTTGGATCGACCGGAAATGGCCGGAGTACCTGTCCTGTGCCACCACTAGGTGGGCTCTTGATTTCGCTAAAGAGGCCGATATGAGTAATCGTCTCTCGTGTCTTGAGACCCAGCTTGGGAAGTATTCTTTGTGGTTAGCTGGACAAACAAAACAAATTGAAATATGACCGTGTTAGATAAAGTGATCATGCCCCTTTATTTAAACCGTATTCGGTTTAAAAATATACCGTCTAACATGTAAAAAGATGTCTTATGGAGGAGCAAAAGTAAAATTATAAAACCGAAGGTGTTATAAGTAAGTATTCATGATTAATCAGATCACGTGTGAAAAAAGCTAACGATAAACGTAACACTCTAATATACTTTTGGTTGCATCAAAATTTATAAGCAGAAAACGATGATTAATTTGTTGAACATATTGGCATATTCGTAGACGAGGACTCTAAAATTAACCACTTGAAGTAATTATAATACTAAAATAATAGAACGTACCAGTACTATGATTATGTTGCTTCATGAGAACTCCATTGACGGCCAAGCAGTTTCCAATCAAATCCGACAAGTTCTTGTTGGAGATCGCCGGCAAGACGAAGTCCGAGACGTTAAGATCCTCTGAGCCGGACCTGCACGTTTCGATGTTGGTCTGAGCCGTGCTGAGCCACGTTTGTGCGTCGAAGTCCGTACACTTGACATCATCCGAAGCCGCGGGGTTAAGTCCCTTGAGCGTCCGGTTCAACTGAGCCACCGTGTTTTCAAAGAGTTTTACGCAGTCTGACCAAGCGGCTTTCCTTTGGTTGTTGGTGCAGCTTGGACCGAACTTTACGGTTTGAGCATGTGTGATTACGGCTTGGTCAAGTGCTATCTTTACCAGCATGCGTAAGAAGTCGGACCGGAACCTTGGTGGTCTGTTAAATTTGTTGTGCGGGCTCTGTCGGAAGTAGTAATTGCATGTCTCGGAGTGTGGAGTCTTGTTGCACCACCATGTCATGTCGCCGGAGACAGAGCCGTTGTTGATTGGAGATGGTGCAACCGCCGGGCCGGGAGATGGTGGTGAGGCGGTAGGAGGACTCGTGGTCGCGGATGGGGAAGATGCGGTTTCGGGTGGTCGGGCAACATTGTGGTCCCACGGAGAGGGAGCACTGGCTCCGGCAGTGAAGCCACCGTCGGATACGGCGGAGGAGAATGATAGGAGAAGAAATGATGCCAAGAGGCAAATGTGGAAGATGCCTCTAAGCATTCTTTGAAGTTCTTGGCTAGCTATGAGTTTGTATGGGGAATTGGGAAATTTCATGGTGTGATGTCTTAAGTAATTAAAGGGAATTTAGTTTTGTATATTAAATTAATTAATGATTTTTGTTTAGAATTATTATTTTGAGTTTGTGTGTATGGACTTTGCAAGTGACTGTAATTGGGGAGAGAACATGATGATGTGTGTTGTCTTTGCTTGGGATTGTATACATGTGATATGATGACTTGTATCTTATTTAGCAACCTATGATTATAAAATCAAATAATATCAAACCTCTATATAGATGTCTATAATTGATTCCATTATGTATTAAAAAGTATTTAGAAAAAAATGTCAAAATGAAAAAGAGGAGGAAAAGTGCCTTATAAGGAAGAAGAAGAAGAAGTGTTTTTCCAATGTTAAAGTAACCTTCCATGTGCTTTTTAGCTCGGTTTCTACTCTTGTAGTTTCAAGCATACGCAAGCTCTTTCAATAATTAATCTTTATGTTACTATATAATTATTTTTTATCTTTTGGTAACACTATATAATTATATATCATACAATTTATATTTGTATTAAAATATCTCCGGTGAATATTCAACCCTTAGTTTTCATTTTATGTTGAGTTATTTTCAAAATTATTGATTTTTCCACACCGTAGTGACCAACTACTAGTGTCTTTACGAGGAAAGGTGTTCATATAAGCCTTGGAATTTAAACTGATCCCGACCGAACCGGTAAACATTTAAATGGTATCGTTGAAACTAAATTAACTCAATTATTCAAAATTATTAAGAGTTGTTGATCAATTTTCTCTGTGGAATTTGACAGAAAAATATTACCGGCAGAATCAAACAGAATTTGACAGTGATTTTTGGCTGTATAATTGACGCATTATGGATTAATGTGAATCCAACGGCCGGGGAAACTATCAGAATGTGACAAACTTACAATATTGTTGTGAGTTGAAGAATTACAAAATTCATTATAAAATGTCACAATTGAACAAAACAGAAGATTTTGTTGATAACTTTTTGGAATAAATATGGAAATATCATCCATCATGCCAAAGAAGTGTTTTCAGCTGAAACAGAGGATTTGCCCAAATACTCAGAACGAAGTTGCATAAGTAATCGACCAAGATAGTTAAGCCCTTCTCCTTCGCGGCCACCTCCCCAGAATAGATCGTGCGGAGAAGCCTCCACAAGAACCGATCCAGCGGTTGAGAGCAACTGTGATTTCAAGTGAGGATAAGTCGAGAATTTGCATTTCAGAGCCATGTACATTACTTCTATCTTCACATCTTCCCAGTCATTCCGAACCTAAAACAACCATTAAAGCGTGTAATGCGGTAATACTCTTAAGCCATGAAAACAAAAAAGTTCTATCATTGAGACTGCATTGAACAAGTGAACTGTTTTATCGCTCGAAACTCGACATTGGAACTTTTTTTGGTCATACCAGTTCAGGTTTCTGTCTCTGCATTGATCTGCCTATCCGAGCAGCCTCCTCTGGACTTCTCGCCGTTCTTATTCTCTCAACGCAGTCACGTGCCATTGGATTTTCAACCCCAACAAATTTGTTTGCCTTAAGATTTTGGAGAATGGGTTAAGACATTACGTTGTTTTGAAAGAGCAATATACCATTTACATGGACAGTTGTAGTACCTGATAGTAATGCTCAACACTGGACCATGTCATGTAATCATCCTTCTCCTCGCCATATGGCATACGAATTGAATGCGGAGAAAAATTTGAGAAGCTTCCATAAAGGTCCCATGTTTTGTAGAAGAATATGATACTAGCTTCAAAGGGATTAAAACCAGGGTCAATCTCTAAAGTTGCATCCTCTGATGGGATAACAGGTAAAAGGTCTGGTATGGGCTGAAGAAATCCGCTGACAAGCATGTCAGGACCAACCTGTAGTTTTCAAAGATTTAGATTAAACCCTCGGGACTAAAGAGGCGAGATCCAGGAACATGTCTAACTTGCCACAGTGAATGTCAAGTCATAAAGCAGAAACATTACTTGCTCGTAGCAAACATCGATTAGATTTAATGCTTGTGTCATCTCTACCATCCCAAGGTCACCAACAGGGGAAGGTGCTTTCGTCCCACCGATAATTTTCGGGGCAACGAATGCAACAACCTGAAAAATTGAATTCAATTTACAGTCAGGAAAATGAGATTTGGACAGATATAAGCATAAGATGACTACAAATAAGTATGGAGAAAGTAAAATGGTTACCTTGTGGATGACACTGGATGATATTGCAGATGCAGCTAATGTTCCCCCACACTCCCATAGAATAGAGAGATATCCACGGAGATGGAAATATTCCATAACTTCTCTTGGATTCAACATGTCGAACTCCACAACTTCAACACCCTTAGATGCAAGAAATTTCTGGAAACTCTTTCTTGCACCCCTTTGTGTAACAACTATGGTAGATACTTCCGACACGTCCCAGAGATTGGCTTTCTCAGGAAGATCGAGACTCTGAGTCATCACAATTCGAGTAGGCGTGTGACCCTGTCCATGTCTTGCGGTCAATCGAGGATCTGCAGTTAAAAGAATTGCATAAATTTCAAATATTTAATCCATAAAGATGTAAAATCTGAGGTACATTATTTACCATCTTGGCGTACGGTGTTTCCTCCAACTATCACAGCATCACTTCTTCCTCGTAACTCGAACACTCGGGTTCTAGAGAGTTTACTACTTATCCATGCTGCATGTCCACTACTTGCTGCAATCTTACCATCAAGAGTCATGGCATACTTAAGAACAGAGAACGGAACCCGAGAACAAGCTCTATGAATCAGAGGAGCATTCACAAGAAGGCAAGATTTCCTAGCATCCTAGAAGAAAACAGATTATGGACTAAACAAAACGCAAAGGTTACAAACAAATTCACTACAAAAAGGCCATATAGAGATACCTCTAGAACTTTACTCTGAAAGTCTTCTCCAATAATATTCACTTGAATCCCTTGACTTCTTAGTTCACGAATCGCAGAGCCTCTTAGATGTTCCAAAGGATGCCTTAATCCGACAACAACTCGTCCGATTCCTGCCTAATCTATACAATCTCAATTATCTCTCTGCTGAAAATAAAGTGTAGCAGACGACCAAATTTGGATCAAAATTGTTTACCAATATCTCACTCATTATCTTCTATGACTAAAAATTCTTCGAGCAAGAAGCAAAACCTGAACAAGAGCAGAGACAGCAGTGTGGTCTCCATGACAATCACCAGGCTCCATGTTCAAATAAGCAGTTGAGCCTCTACAAAACTCTCTTGCAGCTTCAACGGCGATGGCTTCTGCAGGTTTAGTCCCCTGTGCGTATAGGTATCCTTCTCCGGCAACTTTCCCCGTAGAAGTTGCGATTACACAACCGAAATTAGGGTGAGGGGATGTAAGTCCGGCGGACATCTCGGCCAAATCGGCGGCTCGTCGGATGAAGGCGGCGTCATTTGCGTGGTGGTGACGAACATTATCGCCGTGTGCGAGAGTGGCTCTGCAGATTAAAGGAGACGAACAAACTCGAAACGAAAGAGCCATTGGAATCGCTTCCACAGATCAGTACGAAGAGAATGAGATTTCAAATCCGATGAGCCACGTCAGCAACTAATTCTGATCAGAATATACCTTCCGGAGCAAGCGAAGGCGACGGCGACGGCGGTGACAGAGAAAAGAAGTGGCGGAGATGGTAAGGAGAGATTTGAGAAGAGATTGTGGGACCGGTGGGGTTAGGGTAAGGCTGAGGCGTAATTGCTAAATGTTTTGAAGGGTATATATGTAATTTAAATAGCTCTAGAGTGAGATCTGCACTTAAATGTCAATGGTCCAATCTTCAACGAGTGTCGGCGTCCACACCGGTCAACATGGATCTGTCTTTTTATGTTTTCGGATGTTTAATGTACGTCAAACCGCTAGAAATCTCAGCTAAACGCTATTTTTAGATCGCTATTAGTGTTGAAACGCATATTGTAAACTCTTTATTTCAAAATTTATCCAGAAAACTTCCACACATTCGTATAGCTCAAATTACATAATTAAGAACAAAGAAAAATGTAGTATTAAATTATTAGTATTTTTTAGCAAAAGCATTGATCAAGGCTAAGGCGTTGCTAGTTCCTCTTCCCAAATTAACGATCCGGGCACGAACCGAGTTCTTGATCCGTCCATCCATAATCCGACCCGAAAACCCATCGGAGCAAGTGTTTGCGTTAGTCAAAGCTGCGCTGGTCCAAGTCTGAGCATTGCTCATATGGAACCAAAACTGGTCACGACCTCTAGCACTCCCACACATCTTCACTTCATGGACCGACTTGTTCAAACGGTCAACCGTGTCATTGATCTCCTCGATGCAGTCTCTGATGGCTTGAACCTCTCGTTTCTTGAGACCCTTGAAACGGGCCAAGCGCGAGACGAAGAGCTTGGTGGACTGAGCCTGGCTCACGGTCACGGTGAGTGCAGTCTCGGCTAGACGTCGAGGGCTTGTTTGGACGGAGTTTGCGTAACCGGAGAGAGAGTTGAAGCATTCAGTTGGGTATGTGGTGGCTTTGCATGAAGCTTGTATGAAGTTTATTGCGCGTTTGGAAGTCCCTACGGCTGCGGCGGAGGACGCCGTGGTGAGCCCTGTCGTGGATAAGAGGACTAGAAAGAGAGTGTAGACTATTTGCTTTGCCATTGCTTTGAAGTGTTTTGAAAGATAGTAGTTTATTGTGGAGAGTTAAGGAGTTGGGTTTTGAGATTTTATAGTGAGCGAGTAACCTCGGGTGTGGTGTGTACGGTTTTGCTTAGGGTTTATAATTACAGATTAATCAACTTGATTGACTTTGACCCTTGGTTTCATTTTCTATTGTGAGTGGGGCCAATTATTAGTTGGAAATAACCAGAATTGTTCGGTATATCAATTAATTTTATATTTTCTCTGTACCAAAAAACGTAACATGGGATTTTTTTCTAACAATTTCTAGGTTCTTCTTCGTATATTTCATCATCAGAAAGTCAGAATGAAGTACAGATTTGTGGCATGTAGATGATGTTTTTTTGGTATCCTCTATATATTACTCCCGAGACATTTGCAAACATGCCACACATTGGTTCCCTCTTTTCAAAAATGACACACACGCACCCTCTTGCAAAAATGGCACTATTTATTAAACCAAAAATCAAATTTGTCTTTTTTTCATTTTCTCTTTCTTCCTTTTCTCTTTTTTTTTTCTTCATTTTTTCTTTCCTTTTTCTTTTCTCTTTCTCTCTCAAAAGAGATCTGAGATTTTTTTTTTTTTTCTTTCTCTACAAAAATGGTGTGATGATAAGGTTTAAAAAACAAATCAGATT